GCACTCTGGTGGGAAACTGGATTAGCTCCTACCTAGAACTGTCTGCTCTTAAAGTGACAGGCACTGGATTCACCCAGAACAGTTGGATAAGGAGTATCTAGGTTCTGGGGTGGTACTAGAGGAGATACTGTTTAGCTCTCCAAGAAGAAGGATTTGTTCTTTTGCTGCTAAAAGAGACTTGTACATAGTTCAGGAAGATTGCCCTCTCTTGCCATACCCTTGGTCATCCCATACACCCTTATCCTATCCAAGTTCTAATTCCCTGAATAAAATTCAAAAAACAAGCTCAAGGACTGGTTACTGTCTCCTGAATGCAAGTCTGAATGGAAAATGTGTGTTGCCTGGCTGTGCAGGACTAAAGGGGGACCCAAAATGTCAGTGACTCCTAAGGGGGTAGTGTTACAAATACAACTCAACTCCAATTTTAGCGTATGTTTAACAAAAATGATGCTTTAATATTTTGGGAGGGGGAGAGGCCTGTCAGGTAGGCTGTACGGGACCCCATGATACTAACAGCAGTGCTGACTATGACAAAACCTCCAATCAGTGGTGACAAAAGCAACAAGTGACCAATGAAACAATCATTTGCCGTATTTCACTAAGCCCCTACGATTCCGCCATTCTGCAGTTTTTATGGATGGTACTTGATGAAGTGCATTGTGTATTTTCCATATCAGCAGCAAGAATCCTGGGAATTGCCCACACAGTCTCCCCCAATGAATGGAGAGGGCGATTAGATGGCTGCCCGGGGCCCGGGGCTTCTATCCAGCTGACAGCCTGTTATCAGCTCCACACAATCGGATCATGGCACTAAACCTTGTTAGCGGCCCGTTCGGCATTCAGGGATCCGGGTTTCATAGTAACCAAGTGAAGAGGCTCATTCGGAGACGGAATAAATGTCATTTTGACTCGGCGTCCTCCCAGGAGTTGAGTGATCCCTCTCAACCGATAGATCGATATGAGAGAGAAAGAGGAGAAAAACACACACATGAGTACAATGGTCTGGGGGAGAATTACATTTATTCATTTCACAGACCCTCAAGCAGAGTCTTTTAAGCACCACAGTGGCAGAAAATGATGCTCTTGAGTGCGTCTTTCTTTGTACGCGTTCTGGGGGGGTTAATGTCGGCTGGAGGCATGGTGGGTAAGGGGAGTTATAGGTTGATGGGGTGGAGGCGCAGTGTAATGAGTATGCGACCCGACATTAACCAAACATTTTAACCTCTTTGTGTTCAGGTAGATATGTTGTTACACATTATGTGGGTTTTGTTTAAAAAGGCAAGGAGGAAAACCGTGAATTAGGCAGCCAATGAACTTACTGAAGTCAGATTACATAAAGAGAAACATTTTTTTATCTATGGGAGATGTATTATTTATTATTTTTTTTGTTTGTTTGTTTCTTAATCCCTGTTTTTTTTTCTGTTACCCAAAAATTCCTAAATGATAACTTTTAGGATGCAATATTGATGTCAATATTTATAAAAGAAAACATTTTGGCTTGTGTTTCATTTTGGAAACACATGCTTTTTTAATTAAAAAAAAAAAACCTCACATTATCCAGTTAATGGCCAGGTATCGGCCAGGCCTAGATTGTATATATTAGTTTATGGTGAGAATTTACTTGAGCTGGAGCAGACAGAATCTGTGCATAGTGACCATTCAGCTTTTAACTTCAGCTTGGTCAATTAAAGAATACGTAAACCCAACATTTCATATTCCTGATATGTGCCTGCTGTACCTTGTACTTGTATGATAAAGTATCCTGTTCTCTTCGTATTGGTTGTGAAATCCTTGATGTTCCTGCCAGTCCCTCTGCTTTTCTATTAAAAACCGACTACACTAGGCATGACCACAGTTTTGTAATTCTCTAGCTGTGCTGGGAACTCAGCCTACTCTCCTTCAATGATTAGACTTCCCCGTGCACAGCCATTCACTGGGAAGATCAGTGTGCAGTGTGAGCAGAGCAGAGTGGGAGGAGGACAGGACCATGTCCACTCTGCTTATGCCAGGCTGTCTGTTTACACTGTACTGCTTTCCGATCCACCCAGATGGAGGTGAACAGATCCCCTTTTGTTTGTTTTTAGAAGATCGGAGGTAGGCGGGTATAAATTCACACAACTGAATAGTATTCCAGAGTTTTTTTTTCTGTCTCAGTATATTTCTCTCACTCAGCTAACATGACCCTAGTGCTAAGGGAAAGCGGCAGGGGAAGAGCAAACCAAGATGCAGGTGCCCAACTTCCTCCTTATCAACCAATGATATCATTGGTTGTTAGCATGCCAGCAGTTGGCCTGCAGGGTGCCTAAGGCGGTAAGGAGTATTTGTCAATATTCCTATTGCACACATTCCTGGACATAGGCTCAGCAGTAATGGGTGCAGCAACAACAACCAGATGAAAGCTGGAAACATCTCAGGTCAATGCACATATTTGCCACCACACCATAGCTCATCAAATGTCACCCTAAACTTTTATTGCAGAAAGATTACATCACAAAGGACCAAGTGCAATGTTCCGGAGCCGTGTACGACCCCTTAATCAGGCATGTGCAGCTTCGAAACATTGCACTTGGTACTTTGTGTTGTGAACTTTCTACAATAGAAGCTTTGGACGACATTCGATGATCCATGGTGTGCAAATCTGTGCATTATTAAAGCTGTAAGGATGCACAATAAAAACCTGTGGCTTTTTGTAACAAAAAGGTAGAGTTTATCCACATGCTGGCTTGTTGACAATTTTTGGGTAATTTTTAGGCATTTTGAAAAGGCACTCGTGAGGAACCCAGAAGGCACCCCAGGGAGCCACTGCACCGTGGTTGAAAAAAGGCTGGGTTAGCCAAAGGGACAACACAGAGGCTCGCTGCCATTTGCCTCACTTTGTCTGAAAAAAACTTTAGACTGAGCCCTCCAAAAATGGGTTGTTGAGAGCTTGAGCTGTAGAGCTCTGTTAACAACTAGCTTTTTACACCAGAGTGCTAAGTAGTAAGGAAACTAAAACCCAACCTACAAAAAGAGATAAATATTAATATGCAACATTTAATATTTCCTTTTTTTTTATTTCTGACCATAATAAATAAAGTCAATACACATTCCCTTTAACCGCATTGTAGAAAATGTTTGTGGTGCATCTTTTAGGTGTGTGATACACTATGGAAGGCCAGAGAGTGAATGATCCCTAACATGCTCACACTGTAGCCCATTCCGCGGGTGGCTGAAGAATCTCTTTACATTTCATCTAACCTATCAACAGATCTGAGCAGAGAGAAACTCGTGACATTTTCCTCCTTCACGAGCTGACCAGGATAACGGATTCTGGCTGTCATAATTACCACTGGCGGCCGAGGGTTCGGCCTTTGATATGGAAATCCCCGTCGATCCCTCTGCGGCTCCTTGTCCTCTTCTATTTTCATCCCCAATTGTGAATTTTAAACAGGCTTGTCAGCACCTGGCAGCGGCCTTGTCACCGCCGCTCTCTGGCCCCCATCCGCTGGGCTGAAAGGAGCTTGGCGCGGCTTTGACAAGGTGAGGGCGACGCCATGCCACTTCATAAGTGTTGCCCAAGCCAGGGCTATTATGGGAGCCTGTAGAGGACGGCGGCGCAGCGCGCGGGAGACGCGGGGCTGTCATGTACATTCATCCTGGTATTGTCATCTGCCTCCTGTGTGACTCCCGGCTTTACTTTAATTATTAATTGTACTTGTCAAATGTCATTAATTCCTCCTTAGCTTCCCTGTCTGGCAGTAATTAGACAGAACAGCCCCAGCGCTCTCATTGTTTAAAGAATCTCCGTGAAACAGTCCTCTTATTACAGATACATCTGAGCCTTAACCCTTAACATGCAGAACACGGCAACTGTGTTTCTCGGGCAGCTGTGTTTCTTAAAGGGACATTCCATTAAAAATGCTTTTGAAAAGCTGGGTCTAGTGCAAGGAACTAATACTTGGTATAAAATTTTACATTTGTACTTAGAACTTTTTATGGGACCAAAAATGAGCTCTGTAGTCACTTTCGTAACAGTCATGTTCCTATTCCAGGTCACAGCCATATGGTGGAAGCAACAGAGTGTTACATCACTTCCGCTTTCAATACTACAATACATGTCATCACTTTCACACCTGCAAATCATATAGTGTTTCTATATTTTTATCCATATATACAGCACAGTGGCTACATGGTTAGCACTGACACCTGGCAGTACTAGGGTCATTGGTTCCAATCCCAACCACGGCACCACCTGCCTGGAGTTTGCATGTTCTCCCTGTGCCTGCGTAGGTTTCCTCTGGGTACTCCGGTTTCCTCCCACACTCCAAAGACATGCTGGTAGGTTAATTAAATCCTGTCTAAATTAGCCCTAGTATGTGTATGTACGGTATGAATGTAAGTTAGGGACCTTAGATTGTACACCCCTTGAGGGTTAGGGACTGATGTGAATGTACAACATATATGTAAATATAACGTAAATTGACAGCGCTATATAAGTACCTGAAATAAATAAATAAATAAATATATATATATATATATATATATACACACACACACATTAGACTACTGTCAAGATTCCCATCATCCCTTGCACACCAGCAGAAAACTCTCTATTTCCAAATGAGGTGTAAATTAAATGTCTATTTTTTTTCTGTATTTTATTACTTTTGAGATCAAATTTGTGCCCTGTGTCAAAAGAAAAAAAATCCCTCTACATAGAATTTTCAATTTGTTACTGTTGGAAAGGGAACTGTTTGAAAATGACACTAAATATTCCTCTGCCAGTTACATTTTTGTGGTTGCTCACTTAATCCCCTGGTGTTGATGTACGGCGGATATAGTCTGAGAGCAGAGCGATCCTTCTCCTCCAGAATGCAGCTAGTATAGTGCAATGTAAAATGTGTTACTAAACCCTGCATTCACTATATCTGGTCTCCAGGACCCTGCATTCACTATATCTGGTCTCCCAGGACCCCACATTCACTATATCTGGTCTCCCAAGACCCTGCATTCATTATATCTGGTCTCCCAAGACCCTGCATTCACTATATCTGGTCTCCCAGGACCCCACATTCACTATATCTGGTCTCCCAGGACCTTGCATTTACTATATCTGGTCTCCCAGGACCCTGCATTCACTATATCTGGTCTCCCCGGACCCTGCATTCACTATATCTGGTCTCCCAGGACCCTGCATTCACTATATCTGGTCTCCCAGGACCCCGCATTCACTATATCTGGTCTCCCGCAGTACAAAGAACATGTACATGCAATTATTCTAGTAAATATAAGCTGTTAAATACCTTTTCTCATCAGCAGTATACAGCAGTCTTGTGGCTTCTATCAGTGTCCGGCCCAACACTGGTTAAAACTTGTAGGAGGAGCTTTCATTTTCCTCTGACTGTCCTATGAGGCTGCATAACCCCTGACCCTCTGCCTGGACAGTGCTGATTGGCCAAGTGCTGATCACATGCACTCTCCCAAAGAAAATTCTCTAGCAATACACACTAAACTGAGCATAGTGACCCCTAGAGCTCTGTACTATTAGCAGATGTGTTGGGGACAGTAGAAGAAGGGGAGGATCAGAGAAGACAGCATAAAACAGCCTTTTTACACAATGTGGAGGATTAACCCCTTAGGTTCCACAGTATAACAAGCATGATTTACTACATATACAAACTGATTTTACTGTTGTGGGTTTAGTAACACTTTAGATTACATATTGGAACATGTAGACAGCTGGAAGGCAACATACAAACTTCATGCGCTTTATCAGCTGAAGCCAACATTTCCAGATCACATCTCAGGAGAAAATAGTCCCACCCATGAGGTGTCAGAGGCATATAAACTCTATTCAGTGTCTGATAGCTCCTCTTCATTAATTAATATGGTTCCAGTCCAGTTTGCAATCTGAAATCCTGTCACTTTCAGCATTGCCAAATGCAGCATCCCCAAAGAGTCCTCAGATCTCCAGCAGTAGAACATGATGAGTGTGAAAGGGTTAATGTACCTGTTTATATGGCAGAGATCGTTCTCCAATGCTTTCACAGAACATTCCTGTAGTGCTCACCCCTGAAAGGGCCCATTGATTTGGCCCCAAGGTTCCTTCCCCAGTAAGTGCAATAGCAGCCAGGCACACAGTCTCAGTCACTCTTCTGGCTCAACGATAAGTCTAGGGCAGTGCCGGGCCAAGGCCAACCAGCGCCCAGGGCAAAAAAGGAAAACTGTGCACCTCCATTATGTGCGAGCTTCAGGGATGATCTCCCCAGCACTTATGCGTTTGTCAAAATGCTTTGTATCAGAATGAGCTCACTGATGCCCCCATCAATACAGTAAATCTCTGAGCCGAGGACAGCTGCCCCTCCTGCCCACCCCAGGTTAGGATCTTCTCTTCCTGGACAAGACCCCTCTGCTCCAGTCCTCAACCTATATATGCACTCTCCCAGCCACCAACTGGGAACTGTTCCCCAGGGATTTCCTGAGACCACATAAATATTCATACTGTAGATTTGACTATCCCAGCACACTACTCTGCAGAACCATCCAGAAGGCAGGGGAAGCATCCAAATCCACAGTCTGTGAAACTCGGAGCTGAGTAGAGTAATCACAAACAGCTCTACTGATTACAGGAGAGCTAAGAAACTAACTTTACCTAACCTATCAGCTGTCTACAATGTATTGAAAAAGTATTCATACCCTTTGAAGTTTTCCACATGTTGTCATGTTACAACCAATAACGTAAATGTATTTTATTGGGATTTTACGTGATAGAGCAACACAAAGTGACACATAATGGTGAAGTGGAAGGAAAATTATAAATGGTTTTCAAAAATTTTTACTAATAAATATCCTTTAGCCTCCTTTACGCTGATACCCTAACTAAAATCTAGTGGAACCAATTGCCTTGAGAAGTCACCTAATTAGTAAATAGAGTCCACCTGTCTGTAATTTATTCTCAGTATAAATACAGCTGTTCTGTGAAACCCTCAGAGATTTGTTAGAGAACATTAGTGAACAAACAGCATCGTGAACACACCAGACAGGTCAGGGAGAAAGTTGTGGAGAAGTGTAAAGCAGGGTTAGGTTATAAAAGAAATATCCCAAGCTTTGAACATCTCATAGAGCACTGTTCAATCCATTATCAGAAAATGGAAAGAGTATGGCACAACTGCAAACCTACCAAGACATGGCCGTCCATCTAAACTTACAGGCCGGGCAAGGAGAGCATTAATCTGAGAAGTAGCCAAGAGGCCCATGGTAACTGTGGAGGAGCTGCAGAGATCCACAGCTCAGGTGGGAGAATCTGTCCACAGGACAACTATTAGTCGTGCACTCCACAAATCTGGCCTTCATGGAAGAGTGGCAAGAAGAAAGTCATTGTTGAAAGAAAGCCATAAGAAGTCCTGTTTGCAGTACAGCAAACGTAGAAGCAGGTGCTCTGGTCAGATGAGACCAAAATTTAACTTTTTGGCCTAAATGCAAAACGCTATGTGTGGCGGAAAACTAATACTGCACATCACCTTGAACACACAATCCCCACCGTGAAACATGGTGGTGGCAGCATCATGTTGTGTGGAATGCTTCTCTTCAGTAGGGACAGGAAAGCTGGTCAGAGTTGATGAGAAGATGGATGGAGACAAACACAGGGCAATCTTAGAAGAAAACCTGTTAGAGTCTGCAAAAGACTTGAGAGTGGGGCGAAGGATCACCTTCCAGCAAGACAATGACCCTAAACATACAGCCAGAGCTACAATGGAATGGTTTAGATCAAAGCATATTCATGTGTTAGAATGGCCCAGTCAAAGTCCAGACCTAAATCCAATTGAGAATCTGTGGCAAGACTTGAAAATTGCTGTTCACAGACGCTCTCCATCCAATCTGACAGAGCTTGAGCTATTTTGCAAAGAAAAATGGGCAAAAATGTCCCTCTCTAGATGTGCAAAGCTGGTAGAGACGTCCCCAAAAAGATTTGCAGCTGTAATTGCAGAGAGAGGTGGTTCTACAAAGTATTGACTCCGGGGGGGATGAATACAAATGCACACCACACGTTTCAAATATTTATTTGTAAAAAAATTTGAAAACCATTTATCATTTTCCTTCCACTTCACAATTATGTGCCACTTTGTGTTGATCTATCACATAAAATCCCAATAAATAAATGTTTTTTGTTGTAACATGACAAAATGGGAAATAAGTCAAGGGGTATGAATACTTTTTCAAGGCACTGTAGGTGGGTGCTACATTCTCCAATGATTTCAGAGTTTGTTCAAAGCATGGATTTAAATATACTTGGGACAAACATAGGTGTATACAAAAACAAAAAAGTAAAAAAAAATTGCAAAAATAGGGCAGACTCAATGGAGCACTTCCTTTTTTTCTGCCATCACTGTTTCTGTGTCTATTTTTGCTGCACCAAAGGAGCTAATAATATAATTGCAGCCCTACTCCTGGAGGAGTCACTTGTATATTTGCCCAGATTTCCCCCTTTCTTCGCCCTGCAGGTATACACACTCTTTCGATTGTTATCTTCAATGACCAATCTAGGGGATGTTTGTTTTTGGAGTTTTATTGTAGAACTGGGGATAGGGATGGGGAATTTAGTAGGATATTCCAAAACTAGAACTATTGATACTGAGGACATCTAGCTGATCTCTTAGTTGAGCACTTTTGAAGTCCTGGCTGAAAGCAGATAACAGACTATTCTTTAAATTTGCAAGGCTACAACTAGTTTAGAAGTGAGCAAAGTCCCATTAGAGGTAGTAGTAGTTTCAGGGCTGAGCTCCTCGGGTACAAGCCTGTTACGGCAGATTGTGGCAGTCCAAAAGTAATAGAACTGAGCAACATCCTTTGCAGTAGCAACAGGTGGACAAACTCCTCAGAACACTAGCCAGTGTTCCCTTTCTCAGACCCACGCTGACTATCAAGCACCAGAGGGGTAGCAAAGCACGAATAGTCCCTAAGATCTCTCAATGTCTGTACTCACAAGTCCAATGACAGAATTGTAACCTTTTTCCAAGCGACTTTTTCCAGTGATACGAGACAGATCTTTGGCAGATGGCTCCCCTCAGTCAGTGTACTGTAGAACCAGGGTCACTCTTCCTAACATCAGGCCCATGGGTTGCCCACCTGACGCCCACATGACAGCAAGTGCCAGGCGAGGCAGCCTGCCTCCAGCCTAGCTTGGTGCAATCCTCTCCCAGGAAAGACGCTTAACCCAAGTGCTCACAGAACATAAATATCATCCCAGCATGCAATGGGGCCACACTCCCCTGCAGTTGGCCAGGGCTGTATCCATATTATGCTCATTTGCCTAGTTCCCTCCCAGGTTCTGGAAGGCTCTCATAGCTTCCTGAAGGCATGCAGAACTCAAGGCAAACTCAGGAGCACCAGAGCATCATGAGCAGACCTGACTAATCCATCACAGCACTCTGATAAGCAGAAAGCACAACTAGATTTCCCTAACAGTCTCTCTGTTAAGCAGAGAAACACAGCTATGTTTAACCTAACTATACAAATCTGAGCACCTACCTAGGAGGGTGTTACATAATGATCATTATAGAGACATCAAGGTATATATTGAGTCTTGGAGTGTTGGATCTTACCGATATGACTTCCGTGGGAAACCTGTAGTGCCAAGAGGAAACCAGCACAATGGAGAAGACATACAGGGGGAGATTTACTAAAACTGGAGCACTCAGAATCTGATGCAGCTGTCCATAATAGCCAATCAGCTTCTAACTTCAGCTTGTTCAACTAAAGTGAGAAGGTGGACGCTGCTCAACCAGCCCCAAGAGTCAGATGTGTAGATGGCTTGGCCTCGGCCATCGCTCTGGCCACGCCTTCTGATGCATTTCACCCCGCCCACTGGGGCTTGATCTACACATCTGACTCCTGGGGTTGGTTGAGCCGTGCCCACCTTCTCACTGATTAGCCACTCTGGAATTGCTTCGGGACACCTGCTCTCTTTCCAGTGCCGGTGGAATGGTGTCTGTCCTATTTCCAGCTTGGAGCGGCGCCACAAGGTATTTCCATTGTTCAGTTAAAGTATTACTAAACCCATAACAGTAAAATGAGTCTGTATATGCAGTAAAGCATGCTTGTTATACTCACTGTGGAACCTAAGGGATTAATCCTCCGCATTGTGTAAAAAGGATGTTTGATCCTGACTTTTCTGATCCTCCCCTTCTTCTACTGTCCCCAATCCATCTGCTGATAGAACAGAGCATTGGGGGCATGCTGCACATGTTCAATTTGGTGTGTATTGTTTTCTTGGGAGAGTGCATGTGATCATCACAGGGCCAATCGGTACTGTCCAGACAGAGGGTCAAGGGTTATGCAGCCTCATAGGACAGTCAGGGGAGAATAAAAACTCCTCCTACAAGCTTTAAACAGTTCTTTGCTGAGCACTGACAGAAGCCAGAAGCCTGCTATATACTGCTGATGATAGAAGGTATTTAGCAGTTTATATTTACTAAAATAATTGCATTTCCATGTTCTGTGTACTGTGGGAGACCAGATATAGTGAATGCAGGGACCTGGGTTTAGTAACACTTTAAGCTTTGATAATAAAACCTGGAAGCTGATTGGTTTCTGTGCAGAGTTTCACCATATTGTGCACTCTCCAGTTTTTAGTAAATAACTCCCACAGACTCCATGCAAACAAAGCACTGGTGGCAATTGAGCCCACACCCCCAGGGCCCCAGCCCTACACTCTGCCACTCAGCTGCAGCATATATACTACACACATATCTATTTAGCCAAGCCTGTTTCAGTCTTTCACAAAAAGTCCAATTCAATCTTCTGCCATAAAAGCTCCAAAGTCTGTTGTCCTAATACCTGCTCAGCTGTATAAACTGTTAGCTCAGACCATTACAAGTGAATGAGACACTAGATGCTCTTGCATGATGTTGATGCCAAATTTGTACAACTACTGTGAAATGGTCTTCAACTATTCACGTAACGTTTCTGATTTGTATATTTATACAAAAGACTTGGTTGTCAAGTTAAAAAAAATTATATCATGAATTTTGCTAAAAACATGACTGTTACTGAAGTATTATCTAACTGCAATTATTAAATCAGTACTATGACATAGGCAGGTTTTTGTTGTGCTACAGGCTAGAACAGCAGAAACGGAATTCTTCTTTGAAACAGTGTAGCCAAAAGTTGAAGGCAGATACAGTTAAACTGTCTCTCTCTGTCTCCCCAAATGTATGTATCTTGCTCTATAGTACAATGTCACAATCATGCTTCTGTTGTGCTACAGACCTTAAGCCTCAATGTAACAGGACGTTTGGAAAATGATGGAAACTGACTGCTGGAAAACGTAGGTTTAAAACGTCTGTTTAGCCGCGTTTGCATACCACGTGTACGCTCGTTTATGAGTGTTTGCGTTTAGAAGCGTTTTTTAAAGATTTTTTTTATGGTGTTTAGATGTGTTCCAGCTCATTTCTGTGCAGAAATGATTGCAGCAGTGTCTAACATATTTTCTTTCATGCGAAACCTCAAAGTATGGTGTACCAGGTCCATTTGAGTACCGGGAAAACGGTTTGCATGCATTTTTCATGATGAAAAAAGGCTCTGGACAGCATCTGCAAATGGAAGAGTTAAAAAATGTTTCCAAAAAAAAACGCTTATAAATGCGGTTAGCCGCGTTTAGATATGCTTACAAGTATTTGGCGTTTGAAACGCTGATAAAATCTACTCCTGAACACAAGTTTGGTGCGTTCATAAAAACGACTGTAAACAACTGTAAATGACATAGTGTACATGGACACATAGGAAAACATTAGGGAGAGTTCAGGGGCTGCTAAAAAAAAAAAACCCTGCAGAAAATCTCCTAAACGTGAGTTTATGAGCTGCAGTGTACATGGAGCCTAAAGAGGTATTAAACCCAAAAGGAAACATTTTTTATATTTCATCTTACCAGTTCATAGATTAGTTTTCTTTTTTTAGGCTACATACTCGCGCCACCATTGGCAGCTTCAGCTGTTTATCACTGGGTCCCATCCGGTGATTTCCTGCCGGCGCCCGGCGATCGCTGAGTATCACTGTCAGGGCAGAGCTCTGTATGTAAACAATACAGATCTTTCCCCTGTCCGCTCCTGCACACTGCTTTGTGTTGCTTGCTCTGCATATCAGAGCAATACAGAGCATTGTGCTTACTCAGTAAAACACACACACTGCACACAGTAAGGCTCCATGCACACGGGGCATTTTGATAACGCCGGTAACGTTAGCTGTGTAGAGTCACATTGAAAACGTAAGTTTTTCAGCTTTTTTTTTTTTAGAGTTTTTTAAGTTTTGCCACGTTTAGTGGCATTTTCCTGCATTTTTCCACGTTTACATTTTTTAGCATTTTTTTACCAAAAAATGAATTTTGTTGGTCAACAAAATGTCCAAAAACGCCGGTTTGTGGTGTTTTACCGCATTTTGCCACGTTTTTCAGCATTAGAGTGTTTTTACAGCTAAAAAAAACTCCTCTAGAAACCCACTAGTCCTGGGTTTTTTTCCAGCCAAAAAATGCTGATTACAGTCTATGTGTGCAGGGACACATAGGATAACATGCTGGGGGGTTTACTGGCTGTAGAAAAAAAACATCGAACCCAAAAAACATCAGCTGTAAAAACGTCCATTGTGCACTAATCATGAGGACTAAAACAGCAAACAGCACACAGTTAACCCTTTGATCGCTCCAGATGTTAACCCCTTCCTGCCCAGTGTCATTAATACAGTATTAGTGCTTTTTATTAGCACTGATCACTGTATTGGTGTCACTGAGGATGTCGGTGACAGTTAGTTCCCCCCCCCCCCGTGTCAGAATGCCTGCCGCAATCCCGCAGTCCTGCTATAAGTCACTGATCGACACTATTACTAGTATGAAAAAAAGACATGTAGCAGAATACATTCTGGCCTAAATTTATAAAGAAATTAGATTTTTTAAATTTTTTTACTGGACATGTTCAATATCAAAAAATGAAAAATATAGTTTTTTACTCAAAATTGTCGGTGTTTTTTTGTTTATAGCGCAAAAAAATAAAAAATGCAGAGACCATCAAATGCCACTGAATGAAAGCTCCATTTGTGTGAAAAAAAGGACATAACTTTTATTTGGGTGCAGTGTTGCATGACCGTGCAATTGTCAGTTAAAGTAACGCAGCGCTGCATCGCACAAAATGGCCTGGTCAGGAAGGGGGTAAACCCTCTAGAAGGCAAGTGGATATATTACATTTTGGGGTTTGGACTGCTTCAAGGCCTCAATGACATGAGCGTACCTATCTGAGCATGTGTGCGAAGGGCCTCTTTGCTTGCACAGGATGCACAGGTGTTCTGTGCATCCGCATGCAGGCAGTCCCAACCGTGTCTATTGGAATGCAGCAGCTGCACAAACACACCCACTGGTCCCTGTTTGACAGCCGTGCAGGTGCTGGTGCATGTCCCTGAATGCACACTGTCTGGTTTGGGGACACGCACCAGCACCCGCACCCATATGGTACCTATGCATCCCATGTGGTCAAAGGCTGCCCTTCATACAGGTCTATGGGTAGGTACACCCGTGTGATTGAGGCCTCAATCGTAAACAATGCATGCTGAAGACTAAGGGACCATTTATGCAAAAAAGGTGTATGTTAACGCAATGCACCTATATGCACTGTGTGGCGCTCTGTGGTGTCATTTATTGTGAATGACACCCAGGGGCGGACTGACAACTCATGGGGCCCCCGGGCAATAGGGGATCATGGGGCCCCTGTGTCCTTGCCCAAACTCAAAAAAGCCTATGAAAAAGGTACCAGGGGCATCTCATGGGGCCCCCTACTGACCCCGGGCCCTCAGGCAGTGCCTGAGTTTCCAAATGGTCAGTCCGCCCCTGATGACACCCCATCCTAATTAACAGCATGGCACAACCTACTGCAGTGCTCCACAATGCATAGGGTATACTGTTGCTAAGAAAAAAGGGCATGTTCCCTGTCTCATCCATTGTGGTGCATTGTTAATGAATAGGTTGTCTCAATGCAATGCATGTTAATGTGTGCCATAATGCGCATTAATGCATGTGTATTATCACACCACAGTGGAACGCTTACATGTGAATGGGCCCTAGAAAGCAGAACCGGATAAGTATCTCTCCACTAGGCGTGTGTGCTCTGCCTGAAGCATCCATTTAATTTCATTTGCAGGTTTGCTACATGGATCATTCGGACTGGCTGGTTCTCTGCCGAAATTGTCCATTTCTGTCTCTGACGCAAGCCAAGCGACCTCCGTGGGACGATGGCTGCAATTTATGGGCCAGTTGTGGAAGTTGTAGAAGATGTCATCAGACTGAGATTTGACTTATGTGTTGGACTGCGGCGCTGTCTGCTCGTCTACACGTCCCATCTGGAAGGCTTTCAAATAAAGTTTCAGAATGAGCTTTTCAGGCTTCTCGCAGATTACTCACCCGGAGTAAATCATGTTTAACAGGAAAAAGTAGCAGAAACACTCCTGACCTGCTTCATATTCCGCAACAGTTTAATGTTACCAGCTGTCAATCACAGCAGAAGACTCAGACTGGGGCCAAACAGGAAAAAGGGGGGCCAGGGGCCAAGAAAGGGGGGCCCAAAGAGAGAAAACAATGTCTGCATGTGTGTTATATGTCACAGCACAATTCAGGAAAACTGGAAAGCATTTCAAATGACTAAACACGGCCCACTATAATTTTAAAGTGGACCTGTCAATAACTATACAAGTCTGAAAGAATAAAGTCCTGACATGTTTAATTTATTTCAGAAAAGCTCCACCTTTATCATTAAGGTCCCAATTACACTACTTGTGAAGGGAATGAGCGTTCCTCCTCGCGATGTTCAAATTGTGATTCTCATGTGATTCTACGTGTTGCATATAGGGCAGCCCATTCACTTGAATAGATTGCCCTATGTGCATTTGCCATCCTGCTCCTTCTTGGGACGACGGGTTTCATGTATTTTTAAAGGCACATTTTGCAGCGATTGCCAAGCTATTCTGTCATGCGGCAATCATGGTAAAATTGCATTGCATCTGGCAGGCCATTTAGAATGAATGGCACCCAAACGTGTGTTGTGTGTTTTTTATTCGCAGGTAGAAATGCAGCAATTCATCCCCCAGTTCCAAGTTGTGAAGTGTGAACGGAGCATGGAAGGTCTTCCTTGAACTCCAGTCAGTGACTTTGCCTAGGCTAATATAGTACCTCCTAGGTAACTAGGGAGAGATAGACTCCAATGGTTAGACAGGGGCTGAGCAGCAGCCCAGGTGTAATAGCCAGACTGGGGTCAAATTATGGTCAGAGCTGAGAAGCTTTGCAGACCAGCCCCTCTGGAATTTCCCCCTGCTCTGGAGCTTTGGAGGAAGGCTCTAGAGGCAGTGGGTGGATCTGAGGCGTGGCTGGCTGAACTTTTGAGGGACCTCAGCCAATCCGCAACAGAAGGCTTGGCAAGGAGCTGAGGCATCTTTAAAGGTGTTGGAGCCTGCTCAGTAGCAGGAGTGTGTGGGTGGAAGATGGAGAAGTGAGGCTGAGATGCAGGATCCTGGGAGGGAGCCCAGGCTAGAAGGGGCTCACCTCCAGGCAGAGGAACATTGAAGCAAAGAAAGCTGTAGATTTTGCTGGCCCCCTGAAAGAGGACCACTTAGCGGCAGGGGGAAAAGGCAGCCTAGCTGATAGGCCTGGTAGCAGCCACCTACCCAAGAGCAACACATGAAAAGGATTCAGTGAGTACTCCTACACCCCCTGAGCCACAAAGGGGAGAGATCTTTTGGGTGGGGAACCTGACTAGCACTACACCTGGGACTGTTAAATTTCAAGTGGTAGCTTTGGACTCCCTTGCTCAGGGATTCCTCCAGTAAGCTGGATAAAGAAGAGGATTTATCTGGGGTCTGGAGTGGTACACCAGGAGAGTTCTCCTAGAAGAGAATTTCTGTGTAAAGACTTGTAATATAGTTCAGGAAAATGTGTCCTCTGTTGCCATTACCCTTGGGCATCCCATACACCCCTTACCATATCCAAGTTCTACATCCCCCAATAAAACTTCAAAACAAAGCTCAAGGACTGGTTTTCTGTCCCTTGAAGCAAGTCTGAATGAAACCTGTGTGATGCCTGGCTGTGCAAGACTACAGGGAGAGCCAAATCTTCAGCAACTCCTAAGGGGTAGTGCTACACTCAGATGATGTCATCAGTCTGCTGCAGACAGGAGGAAGCATTTCCTCAGTCTCTCCTTGTGACGTTTGTGAACACAGTCAACAGCTGCACAGGCACCAGAATTTACACGATTATATCATCTTTGAGCCATCACCTCTGTCCGGGAAGTGAATGATGACCCTGAACAATGCCTAAACAAAGGTGGTTCTGGAAAGAAAAGTAAATGAAAGCATTGTGATCCTGTGAGAGGTAATAAATGCCTGGAGCCGCTGGTAGCAGTTTTTGAGGCTCCTAGAAGTTAGTATTATCCTATGTGTCCAAGCACACTACTTTAGGCGGTTAACATTTTTTGAGCTTCAGCGTCTAGGAGCAGAAAAAAAATTGTATATGTAGAGTTTTTTTGCAGCGTTTTACCAGGAGAAAAAATTCGAAACACTCCTAAACTCTACTAAAACACTGCTAACAGCTTTTTTCTAGATTTGTTTCCTACATGTAAAAACGGTAATAAAATGCTGATGCTCCTAAATGCTTCTAATCACTTTTAAACACTACTAAAATGCTACTGAAACTCTACTAAAAAACTCTATTATCCAGTGTTTTTTTCCACCGTTTTTCCAGCATTTCTTGATCTAAAAAAAAAAAATGCTAGTGTGCATGTAGCCTCACAGTGACACTGTTTCATGTGTTATCAAAAATATTTTAGAAGCGTTTAATCATTGGAGGGTAATTTTGGACATGCTGGTGCATGGTTCACCATAAACCCTTATCATAAAAAGCTTGTTTTTTTCACACATTCTAATATTGTAATATAGGATCTCTTTTTCTCTTGGTAAATTTAGTTTTTATTTTATTTTTTAATGGCAAATTTAGTTTTTATGTTATTTTTTATTGGCAGTGCATCTGTACTTCCATTCCCTAGTACAAGTTAGTATAGAGCAGGGGCGGACTGACCATTTGGAAACTCGGGCACTATCCGAGGGCCCGGGGTCAGTAGGGGGCCCCATTAGATGCCCCCTGGTACCTTTTTCATAGGCTTTTTTGAGTTTGGGCAAGGACACAGGGGTCCCATGATCCCCTATTGCCCAGGGGCCCCATGAGTTGTCAGTCCGCCCCTGGTATAGAGTGACAGGCATGAATGTCTTGGCACCACCCACTTGTCAGCCTGCAGCAACAATTGTCAATCAGACCAGCGGTGGGCAGCTCTGAGCAAGCTCCTCCCGCTAATGCACACATAGGGGCTGATTTACTAAAACTGGAGAGAGCAAAATCTGGTGCAGCTGTACATGGTAGCCAATCAGCTTCTAACTTCAGCTTGTTCAATTGAGCTAATAAGACCTGGGAGCTGGTTGGATTCTATGCAGAGATGCATCAGATTTTGCACTCTCCAGTTTCAGTAAATCAACCCCATAGAGTACAGCAAGAGTATGCATTTCAAGTGACAATGCTGTAGCCACAGGCAGGACCTGGAATGCCAGTGTTGTCACCCTAACAGAGACACCCAGGGTCAAATTTTTTAAAAAATATTTCTAGTGACATGCTGGAGCCCTGCATAGGTAAAAGAATAGTGAACCAGCACGCAAAACGGGGGAAGATGAGTTTTATCTTTTTTTTTTTTCTTCAGTTGGAAAATTCAGATACATGTTAACGTACTCATTTATTTTAAAAGGAATTGTGTCTGGCAGCTTCTCAAATAAGTGAAAAATAGCTATTCAAGGAATCGGGGTGAACAGCCTCTCTTACCATTCACAGGACGGCCTTGGGGAGAGATGCTTCCAGCATGAAGGGTCACTAATGGACCTACAAGTGGATGAATGCGGGCACCAAATCCAGTTCTTTATGTATGAAGAGGTCTCTCTGTGTCCAGGAGGGGGGGGGGGGGGGGGGGGGGGGGGGGCAGGGTTTACGGTTTATGAACTCAAAATAATGTTAAAACCTTAACGTACAATTGGCATATCATAACAGCAGCCAAGGAAAGTTTTACATTTTGTAGAGCTGCCTATATAATAAAAAACTTTCCTTTTCTTTGTAGAATCATGATTTTATGTCTTCCATTGTCCAAAACAGCGATGGTGATGGTGGGGGGCAGGACTATTGTGCGGATTATAAGTGATGTCAGAGTAAGGTTCAGGCCATTGCTAAACTTCAAGTCCCCAGCTACCTTGCGTTCTATGCAAATCGGGTGCATATTATTGGTTGGTACAGCCATGGCTCCCGAGAGTTTGGACATCTGTGTACAGATCCTGCCTACGCAGAACAAAAGTGGGCATAGCCAGCGGCTGATGGACATGCTTGTCCATCAACGGAGACAACGCTGTTGTTCATGCCTCCATCCCAATGTTGTCATTTGGTGCTGTAGTCCTTGTGGACCTAGTTTGCAAAAAGGTGACAACACTTCCATTTCTCAAGAAGCAATATAGCGTTGTCACTCTCTATTATTATTACTATTATTATACAGGATTTATATAGCGCCAACTGTTTGCACAGCGCTTTACAATATAAGGGAGACAGTACAATTACAATACATTTCAGTACAGAAAGAATAGGAGGGCCCTGCTCGTGGAACTTACAATCTAAAGGAAATTACATACAGCAGAGTGTTCTGGCAGGATCAACCGGTATTAAGTAGGATTTGCAGGAGG